AGAGAGAGAGAGAGAGAGAGAGAGAGAGAGAGAGAGAGAGAGAGAGACTGAGAGAGAATGCAGATAATCAGAGAAAGAAATAGAAATAGAGGGACTGGATTGAGAAGGGAGAGAGAGGAGACTATGATAGGGGCCATGCCCCATCCCCACCCTGGAGCCAAGGTCCCTCCTCACCAGGGACACATTGCACCAGTCAACACGGAAGTGAGGTGCCAAGGTGTCATAGCAGGACAGAAGTGGAGGCTGGCCCTGGGCACAGCGAGCATGGCTGTCGGGTGACGCCACCATCTTCAGGCAGGTGGAGAAGGGTGAGGCAGAGCCCACCTTGATGTACACCCTGGGCCCAGAGAGAAGCCACTATTAGCAAATTGGGAGAGTGTCACTGGGCACTGGAGATTTGGGGGCCACAGGGCTACCCTGAGATCTGGGGTTATGGTGACAGCACACAGAGCAGTCTAGTCTTCTGGGGGTCTTTATGCCCCCAGGAATGTCCTTTGAAGGATGCACCTTTTATGTCCTTGTGGGGCACAGGAAGTGTGGTGTTCAGGACAAGGTTTGGGGTGCAGGAAGGGCAAGAAGGACATGAAGGGGTGGTTGGAGGGAAGTGGACAGTAGAGTGAAGCTTGGAGGTGTAGATGGGCGGCATGGTGAGGCGTGTCCGCAAGTTTCCTAGTAAACATCTTTGCTGAAAGCATTTTCACTGCATAACTAACTGCCATAAAACAATTTAACTGGATGACAGCTTGGTTTACATCTGGGAGACTTAATGCGTTTTGTTAGTTTGGTTTCACTTCTCCATTGACAAAGTTCTTGCAGTACTCCCATTTTTATGTTATAAAAACCTCATAATGGCCCATACAGTAGCAAGTAGACGTGGTGGTCTGAAAATAGTGGATGATAACAATTACATGTAGAGCCGAATTGCAAAGATATGTGTAAAGCCAGAGTGCGTGCTCTACTAGAAAATTATCACATCTCAGTTTGTAAATCCTTCTGTGAGCAGTCATCCTTCCCACTCGTCAAAACCAAAAGTTTACCAAGCTATGCAAGTATAAAAGAGGCAGCATATAAAATTCACAAGTCTTCAAGAGCATTAATTACAATTCTTTAGTTGGAAACTGATACCTCTCTTAATGAAGGAAGAAATTTTAGCAGATAAGGAAAAAGTGTGGTGTCAAACAAGATGAACCAACAAGCAAAAAAATACATATATAATTAAGAACAAAAGACTTCAAAAACAATGTATTTTAATTTTTCACAATAAAGTCTTTTATTTTGTTATTAATTTTTTCATGTTTTATTATGTCCTCTTTAATGTCCTTCTTTTTTGCTCTTTTATTTTTTAAGGGAAAATTGCCTTATGGTCAATCAGTTATATGGCGAAAATGTTTGCAGCAAAAATACTTGCAGCAGAGATGTCTGTGAAACCACCTAGAACTGTGGTGAGGAGACATAAAGGCGGGTAAAGCCCTGCCTCGAAATTAGGGAGATCTGTGTTCTATGCCCACCACCCAGATAGAAGGCAAGGTGCCTCCTTCTCCTTCAGGAAGCCCTCCTAGGTTGCATGCTTACCCTTCCTTGCGGCCCTCGATGGGAAGGGGAACACGGCCCCCACGGTCCAAGGCAGAGGTGATGTTAAGCAGCTGGAGCTCCCCCAGCTCCCAGAGCCCCCCCAAGGCTGTGAGGAAGCGACTGGCAGGTGTTGAGGGCAGCACCTCTTCCACATCATGGCTGCGCACCAGGAACTCAGCCTGGTATGGTATCAGGGGGCCTGGAAGGACCAGGTTGGTACCTCAGGCTGCACCTTGCCCTGCATGGACCCTTCCCAAGCCTCCACTGACCCAATCTCCTCCCAAATCCCCTCAGACACCTTCCTTCCTCCCTAACACCCCATAGATCACAGGCCCCAAATGCCCTTCCGCAACACTCATAGACAACATCATAGAGCAACCAAGCGTAGCCAAGCCTCCAGAGGCTTTCCAGGATGCTCTGCACCCCACTACTCTCCAAGCCTTCCCTTCTACACATACCCTTCCAGAGGAGATCCCCCAAGACTGGCATTGGTGGGGTGGGGGTGGGTCAGGATAGGTAATACCTTCTGGGTCCCCAATCAATAGCACCAGCCTCTGCCGGGTGGTGTCGAAGTTGTCCCTGTTGTAGGCTATGACCTGGAGGGGATGGGGAATTGGGCCAGGAGGTGGGATTAGGGGAGAAAAGTGGTCCAGCTGGGGCCTGGCAGAAGGGGACTGAGATACTACTAAATTAGAGGCATGTAAATGAACATGAATGAATACCCACACGTGACATAGCCCACTGGGGTCCCTGCTGGTACCTCTATGACTTGGCGTCCACGATCTTCTGGGGTGGGGGTACCGTAAAGGAAGCCAGGATGGTGGGGGCTTCGCTGGGTATAGCGGAGCCACCGAGGCAGGTCTGGGTATCCCTGGAGGTGGGCCTGGTAGGTGATGGGGGTGGTAGGTGGGACAGCTGGTAGAAAGGAGGAGAAGGGATTGAAGACACAACAGGAGTCTTCACCAGCCCCAGGCCAAGCATCCCCAGCCCATCCCAGTACCCATCATGCCCTTCTCACCGACATGCTCAGGAAGGTGCAGGAAGGTTTCATGGTCTAAGGTGTGCACAAAGATGCGGCCCACGAGTGGGTGCAGGGTGGTCTGCTGGGCCTTAGTGCCCCCCAGCCCTGTCAGGAGACCTAAGAGGACCCCACAGCCCCCGAACACAGACTAGCCTCAGTCCTGGGCATGGGATACACTCCCTTTTCCCACCACATCCTTTGTGCCCTTGAGAGACCAAAACAATAGTGTGAGAGGAGGGGGCTCCTTCGCTGGCTCCCAGGAAAAGACAGAGTGGGGCCCTGGTGTTGCCAGTGACGAGACCCAGAGCTTAGTTTGGTTTAGATGCATAGGAGCCCCCCACTTCTCATTTTAGGCCCCCATTGGGGGTCACAGTGAGCAGGAATTGATGTTTGACTGGGAGGGGTGTGGCGGTGAGAGAGAGAGAGAGAGAGAGAGAGAGAGAGAGAGAGAGAGAGAGAGGAGGGCACTTGGAAAAGAACCGCCATGCTGAGTGTCTGGGAGCCTGGAGGGGTGTGGGAGATGGAAGGAACCGTTGGAAGAGGAGGGTAGCCATTCTGGGACCCCTCACCCATCTCCCCTAATATACAGAGAGAACAGGGCCCATCCTAGAGACCAACAGGAGCTGAGCAAAGGGATCCTGAGGCCCAGGGAGAGGACCTTCCCCAGTGAGCCCCGCACCCTTCCATGGCTAAATTTAGCCTGGGCCTAGAAAGTAGCTGGCCCAGTCAGCCCATTAAAGGGCCCATGATGCTCCGGGCCTGTGCTCTCAGGCCCACCCTGGCCTAGGACGCCTCATCCCTCCCAGCTCCCAGCCCCCACATCCCAGGGCCCAGCTCCTAGCCCCAGTTCTCTAGACCTCCCCACTAGCTGCAGCATTAACACCCCAAAGTCCTTCTGACCCCTGCCTCACCCCAGACCTCGCCCCTGAGGAACTTCCTTTACTGCCATGTCATCACCGCTAAATCCCACCCCCTCACCCTGGGCCTCTCCCTGAAGAAGGCCCCAACTTGCCCGAAAGGAGAGGAATCCAGATCAGTGCTGCTGCCATGGCTGCCTCGGCCTGGCCGCCCCGTGAGTGACAGAGACAGAAGCAGGGGGGAGGGGTGGGGAGAGGAATGGGGAGGTGTCCCAGGGCAGCCCAGCTTCAGCCAGTGGGGCCTTCCCCCTCCCCACCCAGAGCAGGCACTGAATCTAGGGTGGACACCCTCCTCACATGACAAGGGCCTTCCAATCCTGGTGGCCAGAGTATATTTTCTAAACCACCAGCCTGACAACCTCGGTCCCCCCTTAAAACCCTAATGGCTCCCGTTGCCTTGAGTTCTGGCTGCTGGTTGCCTTCAGGCGCTTCCTGTACCTGGCCGTCCTGCCTGGAATCCCCTCCTCTACCCCCCACTACACACACACACACACACACACACACACACACACACACACACTA